CATCAGCAACTACATGTAATTAAAGAAACTTAATCAAACACTGCGAAATTATAACAATTGCTTTCAATTTAATGAGTCAAACTAATTAACATCCATTGTTATTTATAAAGCAAACAATAAAAAAAAATCAGCAATCCTTACTTAAGTCAGAAAAGCAAGGCTGCTGAACTATACTTGCCTCCTCAGTGTACAGAGCTGGTGGGCTGAAAGATGGAAGGGAGTGAGCAGGTGACAGAAGCAAGTCAGGCAAAGAGAAGCAGGGCCAGAACTGGAGCTTGGTAAAGAGGCAAGGATCCCCCCAACTGGAGTCCCTCATGGCCTGTACTGTTGTAGTCATGGTGCTGGTGGTGGTGAGAGTAGTGGGGGTGGAGATGGTGATGAAGGTGGTGATGGTGGTGATAAGGGTGGTGGCTGTGGTGAAGATGGTGAGGGTGATGATGATAGTAGTGGTTACAGTGGTGATGGTGACAAGGTTGTTGGTGAGCGCTATCATGGTGAAAAAGTTGACGAGGATGATAGCGGTGGCAGTGGTTGTGGTGGTGGTAGTTGTGATAGGGTGGTGGTCAGGGTGGTTATGCTGGTCATGAAGATATGGTGAGGGTGACGGTGGTGGCTATGGGGAGGGGGGTGGTTGGTGGTGGTGATGAAGATGATGAGGAGGATGGTGGTATGGATGGTGAGGGTGATGGTGGTGATGCTGGCGGTGAGAGTAACGGTGAGGTTGGCAGTGCTTAAAGACCTGATTAGGAATGAGAAATGCTCAACAGTGCATATAACCAACCCTTAAATACTAAAGCTACTAAAGCACGTTACTATGCCCCTGCTCACTCATATCAGGATTTTCTTTTTGAGTCATGGAATTCTGGCTGCCATGCCTGTTCACTCTATTCTCCCCCAGCAACATTACATCACTGGCTCACCAGCAGCTTTCTAAGTGTGACCCCCAGTGTTATTTCTACCATTGACACCTCAAAAAGGTCACTGCAACCTTACTTGTTTGTCTCTGACCACAAAGGTTATCACAATCTTAATTCAATCTTGAAACTGAGAGCACTTACAGATTTCGGCGCTAGGGCTGCTGATCTGTTCTACCAGTATGGGAATAGGATCGAGGGTGCTCTGTGCCATAATCAAGTCTCCTGTACCACAGCTTTTGTGACACTAGGAAACAGAAAGGTGTCTGTCACGAAGTAACAAACGCCCACTGACAACTTTAACCCACAGATATTCCAAAGAAAAACAGCCTTTGGGGATGACCTAGGCCCTCTTCCCAGACCCATATTAAATTTTCTAGTAACAAAACTCCTCTTTATTACTACATGTAGCCACTGCGCAGAGCACTTTACATGCATTATTTCATGTACTAGTCTTTGAAACCCCAGAGACATTATCCCCATCTACCAATGTGGTTAACTAACTGTCCAAGTCTCACAGCCAGTGAGCGGCAATACTGGGGTCTGAACACGGGCAGTCTGGCACCAGAGGCTGAACACTTAGACTCTGCTCTGCTGGCTCCCTAGGGAACATGCTCAAAGACAGGCTTTGACAAATGAGAGCCCCATCCCATTAGTGAATGCCAGCCAGAAGGGTGTGAATTTTCAGATCCCAACAATTTCAGCTCATTCTTCTAAGCTGCCTTGATTGATATACATGAAAAATTCTTCTAAAACCTATACAATATAACTGGGATAAGTGATTCAATGAGTCAGCACTAGTAATTAACTAACACTCCAGTCTCTGGGTTCTGTACAGGGAGTTCCTTAAGGATTATGGGATACCACAGTGAGTGCATCTTAGAGTTAGCACAGACAAGCCGCTGCTGCAATATAGCACTGGACGCTTTTCGGTTCTTTACTGACAGCTTTGCACATCCAAGGGTTAAACACTTTTCCCAAGGGACCCTAAGTGTTGGTGCCATGAGAACAGGTGTCCTGTTCTAACGGAATTGTTTCATGATAAATAAACCATCAGGCTGCATGACAAGCAGCTTTCAAAGCGACTTTCATTCAGTATCAACCACAGAACTTAATTTGAGTTTCTTAATGGCACTTTTCCCCTTTACGATATAAAAGAGCCTTGGGATGAAGCAATTACTCTGATTTACCATCATTTCCTTGGTACAATGTAAAGATGCAGTGGAGCCTCACAAAAGCAGTCACTTAACCCAAGGCGATCCACCTGCACAGTCCCTACTATGCTGTTTCAAAGAAGGCTCTGCTAGCAGAAGTACAGAGCCAGCATCAACCCACAGTCCCAATGAGAAGGAGGCTGACTCCCAGAGCTTTTTGCGTTCAAGCCAATAAATTACTTTTCCTCCACCCAACGCTCAGGTAAATTTCATTTTCACTTTACTGCATCAGTTTCTAAACTTTAGCTCCTAGGAATTTTCAAGCCACATACAAGAAGGGTCCTATTTTAGAGTATGCCTCTGCCTTGACCTTGATCATGCAACGCATCAGCTCAGGGTCATGGTGCCTTAAGTCGGCAGGCAGAAGGAAGGCTGAGTCCTCTCATGTGACTTCCTAACATCAGCTGGGTCAGGCTCCTGGGCACAGAAGCCCTGAGGCCACAAACGTTAGCCAGTAAAGAATGGCCCCTGCTCTTTCTGCATCCAACTCCTTCACTTCTTTCCTCCCAGAAGCACTAGTGAAAAAAGCACTATCTGGTTGAAAAGGGATTTCTGAGAGAAGAGTCCACTTGGGCCACCGCCATGTGTGGAACCAAAATAATTTACCTGTGAGGTACAGAACTAGCCCCAGGCTAGAAAGAACAAAAACAGAGCTAACTTTTTGGGAAAGTAGGATTCAAGGGATTTATATGCTTTCTGATGTCTAATCAGGCCAACCATGAGAGTCTGCCATGTAGACAACACAG